GTCTACTCGACGTCTTTTTATTCCGAAATATTCAGAAAACTAGCCTTGCTGCGGTAGTGCACAGCGGCAACGCCACACGCCGGTTGGAGTGGCAGCCCTGCTGAGTAGGCGAGGGAGCCTGCCGGGTCCGGGGCTGCGCGGCCCCGCGCGGGCCAGCGCGGGCCACCCGACGTTGTCACATCTGCTGCTCCTCCCGCCCAAGCGCTCGGCACGGGACGCGATTTTCCAACTTTCAGAACGTAGTGCTCCTTTTCCTTTTAGTAAAAACTGGATTGCAGTAATACTACGTGTTCTGTAGACATTAGTGAACAACATATCAGTTTTTTGACTTAATTTTACATTTTCTGAGCGAGCAATGTGAATGGAACAGTTGCACTGCACCCGTCCTCCCATAAGAGCCCATGTAAAACGGGTCCGCCAGGGCCCATTTTTACTGCCGTTTTGGGCAGAATTGATTTAGTAAAAATGCAAGGGGCATTCGGAATTCGGCATTAGGGTACTCATACTGCATCCTTACGAAATTTTATTAAAATGTTATATTCCAACGACGGTCAAAGAACTTCCTTAATCGGCCGGCACACTGCTTTGTCTATAATGCGGTCGCCTCAATTGAATTTCCGGCGTCGAGATGCGGCGAGCCGACGGCCTGCCCTGCCCAGCAGACTGATTCCGAGGGTCGTTTTCGTCGCTCTGTCTCCCTCGCACCTACACGGGACGCCCCATGAGTGTGAGAGAGGAAACAGAGCGACGTAAGCGACTCTCGGAATCAGTCTGCTGCTGGACATCCCGTGCGTCGCGTCGCTTGTGGTGCGTGCGAGCCGGTTCTGCAGCGTGCCTTCCTCGTCTCTCTCGCGCTCCCTACGCGCGTCCCACAGAGGTGCGAGAGAGACAGAGCGACGAAGCGCTGGTCGGAATCAGTCTGCTGATGCTTGTCCCACGCGGCGACTGTGGCGGCTGCAGGCCGAGGCCGCCGAGTCGGCGCTCGGAAGTGTATCATTTTCATTGCAACCCCCCGGGCGGCCCGGGAAAGTTCTCTCCCCCCTCGGCGTGCCCGCTGAGTACCAGTGAGTACTCCATCCGCCATCCTCGCCCTCTCGGAAACTTTGATTTCCACCAAGTCTCGAGTGCACGATGAGCGTGGAGCTCGGCGTGGAGCCGGGGCGTTTCGGCTCAGGTCCCCGTCGTCCTGGCGGCGGCGGCCTCGCTCCGCCTCTCTCGCTCCCCTGCGGGACGCGCCACGAGTGCGAGAGAGACAGAGTGAGGGGTGCGGGCGTGGCCGTCTCGACCTGCTTTCTTGCGTGCGTCTGTCTCTCTCGCACCCACGTGGCGGTCCCACCTGCTTTCTTGCGCGGTTTCGTCTGTCTCACTCGCACCCGCCGCGCCCGCAGGATGGGAGGGCCAAAGGCACGGCAAAGGGTTGTACGGGGCGCGCTGCCGCGCTGCGTCGGCCGGGTTTTACTGTGTCGGCGCAGCGCAGCCCTTGAAAGGGCCGCCAGGGCCGGGCCTTGCCCGCATAACTCATAACCCACGGCAAAGCCAGAGCGGGGCCGGCTGGGCCGGCGGGGCTGGTGGGGCTGGCGGGGCTGGCGGGGCTGGCGGGGCTGGCGGGGCTGGCGGGCTGGCGGGCTGGCGGGGCTGGCGGGGCTGGCGGGGCCGGCGGGGCTGGCGGGGCTGGCGGGGCTGGCGGGCTGGCGGGGCTGGCGGGGCTGGCGGGGCTGGCGGGGCTGGCGGGGCTGGCGGGGCTGGCGGGGCTGGCGGGGCTGGCGGGGCTGGCGGGGCTGGCGGGGCTGGCGGGGCTGGCGGGGCTGGCGGGGCTGGCGGGGCTGGCGGGGCTGGCGGGGCTGGCGGGGCGGGCGGGGCTGGCGGGGCTGGCACGCAGGCCGCCCCCGAGTGCACGGCGCTCACGGCGCGCGCGGCGTGCCTAGCGAGGTCGTAAAGGGTCCATGCAATCCTCGTCCCGCGGCGGGGCGGCCCACCGCGGCCCCACACACCAGACTGATTCCGGGAGCCGTTTTCGTCGCTCCGTCTCTCTCGCACCTGTACGGCACGCCCCGCGAGTGCGAGAGAGTGACGAAAGCGACGCCCGGATTCAGTCCGCACAGCTCGCCATAATCGCGACCTTCGCGATGGAGCTGTTCTCGCGCATGCAAGTTGCCTTGCCTTTGGGGCAAGAGAGGGGGAATTCAGCAGTAAATGCGCGGTCCCACTTTTTGCGTACTTCCCCGTCCAGGAACGGTGTGTCATTGGTCGAGAGAGAGAGAGAGAGAGAGAGAGAGAGAGAGAGAGAGAGAGAGAGAGAGAGAGAGAGAGACAGAGAGAGACAGAGAGATAGGGAGAGGGGGGGAGTGAGTGTTTCGGGGGCATTTTGACTCTGGGTCCGTCGTGCAGCACGGCGTGGACTGCGCTCTTGCGCCGCGCCGAGCCGACCTGGCCAGACCTCTGGCCCTTGCCGTGCAACCAGCGCAGCGCGCGCACTTTGACGGCGAAAAAACCGCTGTAACTGCGCAGGACTTCCCCGGCAGTTGCGGCCGTCTTCACCCTGGGGCCCGTAGGCCTCGGGGCGCCTCGGGGACAGGTCGCCGCACGTCGTTTGGCCGCGCGCACGTTACCCTTACGGCCGGGCCGCGAGATTAGCCTCGCCCTGCCCGCCTCGCTCCAGTGGACGCGCATCCCTTTTTCTGGAGAGGGAGTCTTAGCGGCCCTCTCCTCGGCGAACGGCCACGTTAGGGGACGGAGGAAGGGCCGCCCCGCCCCGCCCCGCCCCACCCCGCCCCGCCCCACCCCGCCCCACCCCGCCCCACCCCACCCTGCCCCGCCCCACCCCGCGAATGCATTTCAGCCGCTCTTATTCCGGGGCCATGCCGGGGCTTGCCCTCGTGGCCCTTGTCCAGCGGGCCGATTCTGAACAGTGCCTCGCCCCGTCGATCTCTCTCTCTCTCTCTCTCTCTCTCTCTCTCTCTCCCTCTCTCCTACCTACGGGGCGCACCATGAGTGCGACAGAGACAAAAACCGCACTGTGTGTCGCGAGCCCCGCCGACGTGAGCCCCGCGGCTTTGGCGATGAGCGCATACATACGGCGCCGGGGCGAGGCCGCCGTGCGGGGACCAATGGAGACCACAGCCTGGCTGTGGAGGGGAGAGCCACGTCGGGGGCAAAGGGCCATGAGCAGGCCGCGGATTAGCAACGAGGTGCACGCAAAACACACACACACACACACACACACACTCCACCACATGGACTCTCTCGCACACACTCTTACGCACATACACTCGAGCACACACACACACGCGCGCACAAATGCACCCGCGCGCGCAGGCCGGCCTCTCAATTTGCCTACTTTACGTCATCATTCCTGGGAAGGGCGGCCCGGCACGGCCCGGCACGGCCCGGCACGGCCCCATTCGGCCCAAGGGCCACTCACATTTTCGTCGTGAAGATACTTTGTGTGAGGAGCAGGGAAGCCGGCGAGGCGGGCAGGGCAAGCAGGGGCGGGCAGGCAGGCCGACGGTGCAGTCAAATTTTGTCGCTATTTTGTAAGATGACCCCTTTTAGCCGGCTTAGTACTCGTAATTTTTCATAGTGCCCAGTTTTCTCTTTCCTTTGTGTGCAGCTTTGCAACGTGACTCTTTCTCTCCCCCCCCCCCCCCCCCCCCTCTCTCTCTCTCTCTCGTTGAGGAGCGTGAGGTACTCGGTCTGGAGGCGACAGCGAGCAGCGACTATGTACCGCGCCTGGATTCACAGTGCAGCTTGTCGACGACACGCATACCCATTCCAGCAGTGCTTCCCTCGCTCTGTCTCCCTCGCACTCATGGGAAGCTCCGTTGGAGTGCGAGAGAGAGAGAGGGACAGAGCGACAGAAGCGCTGTTCGGAAGCAGCCTGCGCTGGCACCGCCGTGGCAGGTGGCATCATTTATGCAGGAAGACGAGGTGGATTATCAGACTCGGCGCGGGGAGCGCAGGGAATGTACTTATTTCCAGCACTCCCTTGTTTCGACTGCACTGTCTGCCTGTCCGAGGGTCGTGTTCTGCAGTCTGTCTCTTCGCACTCATTGGGTCGCCCGCGCGAAAGAGACAGACCGACCACTGACCAAAATTTGGGAAGACTTCTAGGTCTGACCAAAACCTGGCGAGACTTGATGTCTCACCTCTGGTGTGTCGGAAAGTCTGACCTTTGGATTTGTAGTGACGAAATTGACTCTCAGAATCAGTACGCTGCGTCTGCCGCGTGTTGACCGTTTATCGGCACCCACGAGCCTCTGCACCAAATGTTACAGAGCCTTCGATGTACATTTGGTCTGGAATATTTCCACTCTGGTTTGTGACATCTCGAGGGCTCCTATTCAAAAGATCTTATCTGGGCGTTCCCCCCAAGACAATCTTATCTTAAACGCATGCGAATTTCATTCATTTTATCATTTGGGGCGGACACGAGAGTAAGCGGATTATATTTCTTCATGCACTATTGCTTTCTTTGATATTTTATCTTCAGATTAAAGTGAATAAAATCACAAAATATATTGATTGGGGAGGCTGTAATAAATGATCAAACTCAGTGAAATTTCCCTGCGTTTAAGATAAGATTATCTTGGGGGGGAACGCCCAGATAAGATCTTTTGAATAGAACCCCTCGATCTATATGTTTTTATAATTCATGTATAAATTAAAGTATCCTAGATGGAAACAGGCAAATCCAGAGTCAAATCCAGATGGATTTTAAAGCTGGGTATGTACAGTTTTGCACAAGACGTCAGCGTTTTTTGTGCAGATGAAATTTTTTCAAAAAAATTCGCACGTAAAACTGCTTGCATTTGGACCTTTTTTTAAAGATCACGTACAAATTTGTACGAAAAGTTCATCTGCGAAAGCACTGTGATGTCTCGCATTCTACAAATACCTTTGGGGTGTGCCAGTGTGTTCTACGATACTTTGGTGATAATTTTGAAGCGCTTCGTGGTGCAGATGAAACTATGGGAGTTTTTAAATAAAAGGAATTACGCTTATAAAAAATTATTCAAAAGATTCATTTTTATTTCAGAAACAGAACGTGGCTCAGCAAATTAATCAACACTTGCGGCTTCTGTAGTAGAATAATTACACATAATATCCATTATAACCCACAAAGGAGAGTAAGAGGTAAAATTCAAGAAGAATGAACAAAATTACAGGATGTTTATATTCGTAGTATAACTAGTATAGTAAGGAAGAGTAGGCGGTTACCTCACTTTTTCTCCTTGAAATGATCTAAACACACCAAGCGTTACAAACTTCAAACCTGTCGTGGTGGTGAAGGCTTTCCACCAGGTCATTGTACTGCCTAACGCAACACTGAGGATTTCTCCTGGTTTCTCCGGCCGCCAGTACACTCTAAATGTCTTACGAAGAAATTTCTCTTAATACGAAGGAAACGGCGCAATCTCATCCCAGAAACGTGACATCACGTTGAATGAATGTGACAAAATGTCACGTTCCTTTGAACATTGTGTCACATTCGTTTGGACGTCAATTAGCCATAAATTAACTTCTTTACGTTCAAATGGATGTGACACAATGCTCAAACGAACGTGACATTTTGTCACGTTCGTTTCAACTTGATGTCACGTTCCTGGAATGAGCGCAAGCAAAATACGAAGGGGTTTTTTTCTTGGTATTATGAATTTGAATCCTACAATAAAAAGGATAAAAAGATTCACTTTACGAAGAGACATTGCTTCGTATTATGCTTGCGCCGAATTCACTGCGAATAACATGGGTCAAATCTCATTTTAAGACATTTAGAGTGTGCTCTCCCCACTCGTGTTAAATTTTTCAGAATGTCAGAAACCTGTCCGAAAACCTGATCAAAATTCGCGCACCCCATTCTGATATGCTGTAGGACCTGGTCATCAATAATAAACTTTTCAGAATCTCAGCTTTCAGAGGTGCGCGAAATTTGATCAGGATTTCAGACATGTGACATTCTGACTAAATTTACACGTAAGCCGCGGTCGCGCCCGTGTCTAGAACTTTTCCAATTCGACCTCGTCACACTTCTCGCACTGCACCTTGGCGCCCGGCAGCACGCGCCGCACCGCGGACACCTGTGCACGGCAGGCTGACTCGGAGTGGTCGACGTCAACCCTCCACAGCACGATCCTGTACACGCGAAGGCCGCACTCCCTCAGCAGGGCGTCCAGGTCGTCGCACACTCTAGGCCACTGCCCATCCCCTGGAGTGCCGATGCTCATCCACAGCACCTCCAGCGAGGCACTGTGGGCCTGCAGCAGGGAGATCAGGGTGGCCCGAGGAAGTTTGTAAACGCGCAGCCGCCTGAGTCCGCCTCCTGGCAGGGCGGGCACCAAGGGGGGCTCATTGTCCAGGGCACCGTCAATAGACCACAAATCCATCCGCCGCAGTCTCGGCATGGCGTCCGCACGGGGAGCAATCATGTAAAGCTCCTCCAGCGTCGGGGTGGCACTCCCAAGTATGTCCCGGACCCAGGCAAGGTCAGCGTGGCACCAAACGTTGTCCATCCGGCGCACCTGCAGACAGACGGCGTCAACGGTGCGGTCAGTGAGAGTAAAAATGGGACAATGTCAGTACACTGATCAAACGCTTTGAACATAGCACGTATGGTGCTGTGGTGCAATGCATTGAGACAGCGCACCACGTGCAATGCCGCAGCCTATAGGCTAATGCATGAATACGCAGGCAGTGCACTCAGGGTTCTATAAACGTGAAAAATATTTTTTTTTAAAGTGAGATTAAAAGGATTTTTTGTTTTGTTTTTTTAGGCACGAAGTAGCATTATCACTTGTATGAAATTTGGCAGCATGTCAGAAACATGTCTGAAATCCTGATTAAAATTCGTGCACCTCTGAAAGCTGAAACCCTGCAAACTTATCCTGATATTGAAGGCCTGAGTTCTGCAGAATGTCGGAATAAGTTCTCAGCTTTCGGCACCAGGACATGAGCCCCGTACCGTTTGAGCCCCGATCGTCTGGGCTTAAGGTGGGGCTCAACTCAGGCTTAGGTTGGGGCTCAAGACGGGGCTCAGACCATCGAGGCTCAAACGGGACGGGGCTCATGTCCTGTATGCCCAGCTTTCAGAGGTGGGCGAATTTCGATCAGGTCATTTCAAGTGCAATTCAAGCAAAATTTAATGATTTCCCGCAAGGAGCTCTGTTTCTGCAACCATCTACTCCCACCACCGCCATTTATTCAAACAATTTTCAAGTCAATATATTTTTCCGTTTTGTTTAAAAGAAAAAAAAGCTGTTATTTTCAATAGATTTTGTTTTTCGAAAGAAATTTTTTTTGCTCTTTTTTTGGCTAATTACACTTTATGTGCAATGCAAAAGTATTGCACCAATTACACTCCCATCCCAGGAACGTGGCATCACGTTCAAACGAATGTGACAGAATGTCACGTTCCTTTGAACGTTGGTGGACAAGAAGCCAGACTCACCCCATTCTGCCGCACGCGGGCCAGAATGGCCGCCTTCTCGACTTCTCCTTTTCCCGGATGAGCCTGACTGATTTTGAACAACTCGATCTCCTGAATGAGGTCTTGGGGTCTAGGCGGAGGGCGCGCCTCCTCTTCAGGCTGGTTCTGGGCTGGAGTCTGTTGGCAAATCATTTCAAGCGTTTAATTTGACTGGTGCTAAAAATCTTCGCTGTTCTCTCAACTCGTCACGTTTTTTTTCGACACGATCCAAATATTGCATGGGGTACTGCCGCACCTTGTGGATGAGGCCGTGGCGGTGCAGGTGCAGAACGAGCGCGTCGAGCAGGCTCCGGCCTGCGCCCAGGTCGCCCCTCCACTCGGTGCCGCCCTGGTGCCGCAGCGCGCACTCCATGCCCTCCAGCAGGCTGGCCGCGTCCTGCAGCTGCTGCAGGCCCTCCGGCTGGCCGGCCTCCAGGTCGCCGCCCTCGTCCACCGCCGCGCGCAGCTCCCCGGTGGCCTTCTGGACCTGCCGCAGTCTGGCCCGCCACTCCTGCAGCAGGCCCTCCACGGCGTCCTTGGCGTCCTCGAGCGTCCGCACCGCCTTGGACGCCGCCGTGGCCGCGTCCTCCAGCTGCTGCAGCGCCCTGTCAAAACTGTTTCCAATTTTCATTACAAATCTGCAAGAGGGGTTCCTTGTCAAGACGCCCCGTGGTTCGGATCAACCCTTGTCGAATTCCTTCTCCCTTTTTAGAAACGGTCGTTTTCAAATTTGGATCATTCAATTTCTTGGCTCAGAAACTTTTGTCCGTTGCAGGGTTCTCGCATCGCCTCTCTTAACGTGCATGCAAATTTTAAACCAAATTAGAGATTAATGTGGTTTTTCAGATCAAGCACCAAATTTTAAAAACTCTTTGGACATCTTGTGTATGACTGACTTTAATTTACCTGTTTCGTTTCTTCCGAGACTTAAGCAAATAATGCAGGTTCACAATTGGTTGACTATACCTGGGAGTTGAACCCGAAGAGTCACTGGGCTGCGAAGGTCTCGACTGCTGCTTGTTAGCCCAGTCGAGTATGGAAAAGTTGTCAGGCAATTTGGCTGGGTCGCTGAAGCCCTGAGAAAAATCACCAAAGTTTAGAAATCGAATAAAATTTCGAATCCGAGGTCGAACTTAGCCAGCTCGACACCAAATTGAAAACTGCATAGGATTCGATTAGGTACCGAAGTAATCGCACATCCCTACAATCAATTCCGCATTTCATGTCATTAAATTCGGCCGCGCACAGAAAGAAGTCTTCCAAGTAATTATAGCTTTGTCATACGAAGAAAACGAAAGTTTTGCAAAATCAGTCAAGAAATAGAACGCATCACCAAACGTGGTGTATAGGTTGTCTGCACGAGGAAAGGTGGTCTATGTCGTCTCAACACTATAAGTGTGGTGCAGACGAGGGTGCAGACCACTTCGCGCCTCGGGCTTCATAAAAGTAGACCGCGTTTGTGATGTATGGTGTGCAATGACCACATCATTTGATGCGGGCAAAATGACACTCATCGAAAGGACCCTATCTTGCGTGAGGTGGCAGACTTTCTACTCACTTTGCGGCACTTTGGACACAACCTTTGCTGCAGACCCTCCAGGCAGTGGCTGCAGACGGTGTGGCCGCACGGCAGGCTCTTGGGTCGCCTCGCGGCCACGTCGAACTCATCCATGCACACGGGGCACTCCATGATCGGTGTCTGCAGCAGGGTGGTAGAAGTTCTGAGCAGGCACACCAAGACAAAAGGTCAATGTCTGGGACTGAAACTTTGGTTCCTGCTTTAAGATGGCCTGTTTACACCGCCACTGAGCGCCAGGGCCACCACCCACCACGCCACAAAAAACCCGCATAGAACACATACCAACCAAAACAGAGCAATCCAACACAGGCAAAATATTCGCTTGGACTCCGCACAATCAACACGACGCGTCGTGGCGTGACCTCTCTCCTCGGAGGAAACTGAGGGACTGCCAAGGTGCAGCCGCGGCCGCGCGTCCGCCATGCATATCGCATTACACCAGTCACAGCAGAAGTCAGATGCCAGGCTGCCGGTGGGGGGGGGACAGTGAGCGACTTGGCCAGCAGACTGAGAGTCGTCCTCGTCGCTCTGTCTCTCTCGCCCTCGTGGGGCGTCCGGTATAGTTGCGAGAGAGACAGAGCGACCAAAAGGACTCTCGGAATGAGTCGCTGCGGTGTGAGGAGGCCGGGCGGGGGGCCCGCAATATTCACGTCGCTTAGTTGGCGCCCACGATGAAATATGTGGCTTTATGCGTTGGAGCCACCCGTGTGTGTGTGTGTGTGTGTGTGTGTGTGTGTGTGTGTGTGTGTGTGTGTCGCGGGCACGTGTTTAGCCTACCCCGGGCAGCCCGGCGTGCTCGGCAGGGGGTGCATGGCAGCGCTCTGGCATTGTACACGCCTTTCGGTGTGGGCATGTGGCCTGCGGTCCGCGAATCTTCTCTCTCTCTCTCCCTCTCTTTTCTCGCTGGGGCCCCCTTTCCCAGCGGCACACACACACTCACACACGCGCGCGCCCGCACACACACACACACACACACACACACACACACACACACACACCGATAGCGTGCGCGGCCCACCGCCGTGGCTGCCTGGTTGGCGGGACCTTGCCCCGCTGCTCGCCATACGCCTTGAGTGGCAATTCGGAGTCCAGCCGGGCCTGGCTGCCTGGCTGCAGACCGATTCCGAGAGTCGTTTTCGTCGCTCCGTCTTTGTCGCACTCATGGGGCGACCCGCAAAGGCGCGAGAGAGACAGAGCAACGAAACGGACTTTCGGAATCAGTGACTGACTGGCTGGCGGGGCCCGGGCCCGGGCCCAGCGCTGTGCCCCGGCCCTCTTGATTATGTTTCCCCCCGATGGAAACTGAACGGGCGGAGCGTAATTTTGGCAATTAGGCACCTGCTGCCTCGGCCTGGTCGTCCTGCAGTGTGGGGCCGCCGCCACACTGTGGCCCGTGACATCCCTCCAGGGGATGGTGCGCCGTGCCGTGTCGTGTGTACCGCGGGAGTCTCCAATTAAGTTTGGCTGCAAATCAGATTCTGCCGGGCAACTCCCTGTATCGACCATGGCGGTATTGTTGTAGCACGGAGCTCCGCAACACACACACACACACACACACACAGCGACACACACAAGCACACACACTCACACACACACCTTCGTGGCTGCCCGCCGCCGGCTAGGCCGCGCGTACAAAAAGAATAGATTGGTGATTTTTTTCCGGTCTGGGTTTATTTTGCAAAGCCGTGTGTCTGGCGGGTGCGAGGTGGTTGCCCAATCTGCCGAAGAGCTAATAGCCGAAATGCGCGCATCGCTTTTAGCGAGGTGCCACGGTGAGGTGGGGCGGGGCGGGGCCTTCTAAATCGGCCGGGAGGCTTTTGAACACTGCGGGGATGAGAGAGGTTTTTCCCGGAACGCCACGCCGCGTTTTATGGAATAACGAGTCGGCCGGTGAAGGCAAAACAAGAGCCGCCACACTGGAAGCGAAAGCCGGCCAAAGGGACGCCCGAAAGCGGAAAGAAGCCGCAGAAAGCTATCATCGCGTAATACTCCACCCCCCCTCTCTGTCTCTCTCTTTCTCTCTTTCTCTCTCTCTCTCTCTCTCTCTCTCTCTCTCTCTCTCTCTCTCTCTCTCTCTCTCTCTCTCTCTCTCTCTCGTGCACGAGCGCGCTCTCATTTGCGGCTGTCCTCTAATTGGTGCGCCTTTGTCCGGCTCGCTCTGTCTCTCTCGCACCCTTTCGGAACGGTGAGTGCGAGAGAGACAGAGCGACGAAAGCGCCGTTCGGAAACGCTCTTTTGACCGCGGCTGCGGCGGCTTTGAAATAAACGCTTTGAAAGGGAGCATCGCAGGCAGCCTGCCGCGCTTCCCCCGCGGCCACTCTAGAAACTGAAGAGAGTGCATGGCATGCTCCTCCTAGGAGTCAACCACAAGGCACACTCTTCCCAAGAGCATGCTTTCAAGCACTCTCCTTGCTTCCCGCGCGGAAGAATCTGCAGTCTGAATTGTACCCAGGAACTGATGTCGCACCATACTTTGAAGTGAAGTGCAAGCATGCTCCTGGGAAGAGTGTGCTTGCCAAGCATGCTCCTGGGAAGAGTGTGCTTGCAAGCATGCTCTTGGTAAGAGTGTGCTTTGTGGTTGACTCCTAGGAGGAGCATGCCATGCACTCTCTTCAGTTTCTAGAGCAGGTACCGCAAGGGGAAGGCCTTCGCCGCCGACCGCCGGTGTGTGAAACCGCTTCGCCTCACGGCCACAGCCACCACGGCCTCGCGGCCAGAACAAGAATTTGAGCCTTAGCAGGCCTCCACCTCCGACTCAAAGCCTCTGCCCAGAAAGCCGTTTCAAGTTCCAGGCTCACGGCCTCCGCCGCCGCACAGTGGGCTAGAAGATCGTTGGAGGCGACCAAAATTCTAGACGCGTTTTGAGCTTCAGAGTCGCTGAACAGGGCTCGAAACGCGAGTCGAAACGAGCGTGTGACCCTCACCAATGGATTCCTCGTTCGGAGAACAATCCATTGGTGGTGTCACACGTTCGGTTTGAGTCCCATTTAGCGACTTTGGAACTCATAACGAATTTTGGCCGCCTTCGCCGGTCTACTGGCCCACTGTGTGCCCTTTTGTGTTCTGCGATACGAGAACATGCAACTGATTCCGAGTGTCGCTTTCCTCGCTACGGCCGAAATGTTTGCGGTTTAATTCGCATCCCGCGTCAAGCTGGCTGGAAAAGTCCAAGTTGGATGGCGCGGCGGCTGGGCCTCCGCCCCCGTGTCGTGCCGTGCCACGCCCTGCCAAGCCACGCCGTGCCGCGCTGATTCAGTGCGCCACACCAATTAATTCACAAGTCCAGCTCAGCATCAGTGGCTTCCACGTTTCCAGGCTCGTCGGCTTACCCGCAGCTTTTCTCCTTTTCGCCGGGACGAGCAAACACCCCTCCCTCTCCCTCCTCTCCCTTCTCTCTCCTTTCAATTCTCTCTCTCTCTCTCTCTCTCTCTCTCTCTCTCCCTCTCTCTCTCCCCCCCCCTCCCGCCCCCTTTCCTCCCCCGTGTCATACATACTGGGATGGCCGGGATAGCTTTCGGAAACGGTGGTCGCGGTCCACCCGCCCACGCCCCCCTGTAGACTGGTTCCGGAGAGTCGCTTTCGTCGCTCTGTCTCTCTCGCACCTCTACGGGACGCCCCACGAGTGCGAGAGAGACAGAGCGACGAAAACGACTCTCGGAATCGGCCTCCCGTCTGACCGCGCTCTGGCCTTTTTGTCCGCACTTTTTTGTTTTCGTGAATGAACTGTTTCTCCGTTTTTATTCTTCCTTTTTTGACGCGCCGCTTGTCCGTTTAATTTCTTTTTTCCTCTCGTCATCCGTGTACCGTATCTGCTCTTCTGGGCCGTTTGGGTCGTTTTTATTTTTGCACATCGCGCGCCGTCATCGCACGGTCTGCTGGTGATGTGGGGGAAATGGGGGTTTAATGTGGCGGTCGGGATGCTTCATGCAGTATCGCCCGGACCAGTGCTCTCCGTCGCCTTTTCCTCTTCCCGAACTTTATTAACTTGCTTGCTGAGTGACAGACTGCCTGTCTGCCTATCCAGCTGTGTCTGCACTGTGAAACCAGCCGAAGAGAAGTGGACACTTGAAAGGCGGAGGTGTGAAATTGGCAGTCTCCGCGGGGCCGCAACTGCTTCTTGCCACTGCCTCTGCTTCTAACTTCCTTGGTACGTCTTAATTGCAAAACTGTTGGCTGGGATCGACAGTCAAAGCTAGCTGATTTAACAATCATGTGCTAAAAAGTACTTTTCTCTGTAAGGCCTAAAATAGTTTGTAAGGTTTTCTCAGTGCACCGACTCGCGACACTCTTCCCATTCCGTCAAGAACTGGTGGCAGATGTCTTGGTCTACGCGGGCTTCTGCAGGATGTGGATTTCCACCGTCATGCAAGCTTCACACTCTTAAAACCTTACGAAGTATTTTGAGCATACATATAACAAACTAAAATACTTTGTTATACGAAGAAATAGTTTGTAAATTACGAAGTATTTTCTTTGTAAGCTTACGTATGCTCAAAATACTTTGTTATACAAACTACTTTTCTTTGTAAGGCCCAAAATAGTTTGTAAGGTTTTCTCAGTGCAGCCTGTCGGTAACCCGATACCAGGCGGAAGCGGTAGCGCCCGTAGACCATGGTGGGGACGTTGGGGAACACAAAATTGACGGGCTTGTTAGTCGACTCGTACAAAGCCAGCAGAAAAAGCTTATTTTTAAAACGTTATAAAGGGTGCGTAGCTGACAATGAAAGAAACTACTTTTTTGACCCCAACCCGAGTTCCAATACCTAGTCATCATCATCATCATCATCATCATCATCATCATCATCATCATCATCATCATCATCATCATCATCATCATCATCATCATCATCATCAGCGCTGGCAAGTGAAAAAAAATGACAAAACTTGATGCCAGGAGGGGAAAGGAAGTGCATGGCGAAACCGGTTTAAGGGAGACATGTTGACAAATGTTTTCTCCTAGAATCAACTTACCGGTGGTACGACGCACGGTGAACTTGGCTTATAGTACAAAAGTTGCCGGGCAAAATCTGGGATGTTCTTGGTGAGCACTGTGCAGCCGTGGTCCGGGAACTTGAAGACAAACGCATTTTCCTTCCACATGTTGTTGTTCCAAATGTCCATTGTAATATGCAGCTTACATGAAAAAAGAAAACATACTATTTTGTGAATTCTTTCAAGTGTGTGTTACGAAAGAAACACACTTGATTAATACGTAGTTTTTTAATGCACAAGCTTCCCACAAAGCTGAGCACACAACACACCTATCTGTTTGCTTAGTGCACACTTAGAAATACATGATTTGCTGAACCCATTTAAATGGGTACTTTTCATGCATCCATTTCGTCCAACCCATTCTGATGGGTCTAACGTCTAACCCATTCCTATGGGTCCAATCCATTCTTATGGGTCCAACCCATTCTTATCGGTCCAACCCATTCTTATGGGTCCAACCCATTCTGATGGGTCGAACCCATGAAATGGGTGCATGAAAAGTACCCATTTAAATGGGTTGCACCCATAATGGGTCTGACCCATCGCAAAGTGTCCAAAGTCAGACCTGACTTTGTATTAGTTCTTTTACAAACAAGACTAGTCTGACCTCCATGAACGTCACAAACTAAACTTTCGACGCTGAACACAACGGTGCTGTCGGATTTGGCCTAGCTGCCGTAGTTTACAAGTTAACCTTAATAGGTGTGTAGCGGGTTTGCCTACCTAATTGGACCACATTTTTGCCTACATCGCAGGCCTGTCGCAAGCACCGTTTCGTATCGGCCTTTGATTGCCCTGCTGTCCTGTCCAGCCTTACCGACGGGCACGGCGGCGGAGGGGGTCGGGGCACCGCAGAGGGGCAGCGCACTGGCATGGCACACGCAGTGCGCGCAGAAGGGGTCGTTTTGAATCGCAAATGCCTCGTGCGACACAACTTGCAGGTGCCGTCCTGGGCCTGAAAGAAGGGGAGGGGGGAGAGAGAAAGGGGCAGAGCAAGGTGAAGGGGAGCGGGGACGGGAACGGGGAGTTGAAGAAGAGGTGAAAGGGGAAGGGGGAAGGGGTGGGGCAGATCAGTGGCCGGACACTACCTGGGAGGGCCCGAGACGGTCTCAAAGGGCCTGCACTGAAAGGGAGGCTGAAAGGGATCGGAGGAAATTGGCCGATGTCTGCCATGTTTGCCGTCCGCCCGACTGGCTTGGACTGGCTCCGTAGTGCCGCACGGCTGCCTTGTCCTCCACCGTGCGCGCTGAGACGCCGTCCTCCCGGACCTGGCCGACTCCTTGACGCTGGCGCGTCGGCCACTTCGATGGGCTCTCGGACAGCACAGCAGTTTGCGCAAGCTCTCCAGACAGATTGCGAGGGTCGTTTCCGTCGCTCTGTCTCTCTCGCACCTAAACGGGATGCCTCATGAGTGCGGGAGAGACAGAGCGATGAAAACAACCCTCGGAGCTCGGTGGCGGTGTCCTCGGCTCGCTTGCGCGAGGACCTACTTGGCGCTGGTCGGTGGGATTTACGTGCTTCGAGGCGCGCTTATCATCGTCGCGGCTTCGCGTGACGCCGTGGCGTGTCGGGGCGTGGCGGGGCGTGGTGCTTCTGCGGTGCGGCCGAGGATTATCCCACCGCCATTGCCCATTCCGCGGCACTCAAAGGGACGTAAAGCAGTCCGCCACCTCTGGGGGCCGCTCGTTTTGGACGCCGTCGAGGACGCCGCCGCCGTCGAGGACGCCGCCGCCGTCGAGGACGCCGCCGCCGTCGAGGACGCCGCCGCCGTCGAGGACGCCGCCGCCGTCGAGGACGCCGCCGCCGTCGAGGACGCCGTCGCCGTCGAGGACGCCGCCGCCGTCGAGGACGCCGCCGCCGTCGAGGACGACGCCGCCGTCGAGGACGCCGCCGTAGGGACGTGCCGTGACTGTGACGGTCTTGGCGGGCGGCTACATCATAGGGGCACGTCAGCTTGGACGTACCTCAGCGGGGGCATTGCCTTAGGTTCGTGTCTGGTTTTTGAAGGCTCGTCCGGATGTCTTCTGGGGGCCCTTTTCGGGGAATATTCTTCGGAGGGCGTGGCCGGGAGAGAGCGTCGCCCGGACGGACGCAGGACGTGTGGTGGTGGCTCCGCTTTCCGCGGGGGCTTGACGAATGTACCGAGGGGATTCGCCACCGGCCGCGCCACGCTTGCGGAGTCGCAGACGGTCGCAGACGGCCGCAGGCGGGGCGGAGCCGAGAGTAAGAATGGAGCGAGCAAAGCTTCTTTGGGTAAGTCCAACAGAGGGCTCCCGCCGAGCTCCGGCCACACACACACACACATGCACTTACACGCAGAGGCCCCCCGCCTTTCGCAAAGTGCTCAAAGTTGAACCGACTGCCGCGCGCTGCGCGCCCCTTGTACCGTGGTGTGATTTTCCTAGTTTTCCCAGAGCCAGACATGGTTGTTAGAGCCCGCCCGGTGCGGCTGGCGGTTGGCAAGACCCTCCAAGGAAAGCCTCGGCCCGCCCCGCCCCGCGCCGTCTGCCTGGCGGGACAAGAACAACCGACAACAACAACTCCTGAGCCCGCTGAGGTAGGAGCGAGAGTGAGCGAGCGAGACGCGAGACGCGTGCTTGTTGCGGAAGCTTTCACGTCCACCACGCCATCCTCTCTCTCTCTCTCTCTCTCTCTCTCTCTCTCTCTCTCTCTCTCTCTCTCTCTCTCTCTCTCTCTCTCTCCTTTCCCTCTGCCCGGCTTTCCTGCTTCTCTTCGGGGCTTTGTGAAGCTCGTCGGAAACTGCTTGACGGAGACGCGCACTCTCTACACCGGGATCCCCGGATCCCCTTCCGCGCAGGAAGCGGGTACCGACCCGGTCTGCGGACTGATTCCGAGAGTGGGCTTCGTCGCTCCGTCTCTCTCTCTCTCTCTCTCTCTCTCTCTCTCTCTCTCTCTCTCTCTCTCTCTCTCTCTCTCTCTCTCTCTCACGCACCTGCGCAGGGCGCCTCATGAATGCGATAGAAACAGAGCGACGACCCGACTTTCGGATTCAGTCTGCAGCAATCTGCCTTACAGTGGGGTGGGTTAAGGGAGCGTCAACTGCACGACAAAATGGCCAAGTTAAGTTGCTCTCTGAATCCATTGGTAAGAGCATGACGATAGCGGTAAAATTCGTAACCCCCCTCTTATTGGTGCTCTATGGACACGGCCAGAACAAAATTACCGCCAGTTTACCGCCCTTCGATTGAGAGTGTGTTCGCAGTGCAGTAAACGGGGAGCTTGACGAGCGCGAAAATAAAAGGGGCAACCTGACACGTTGAATTGAATCATCCAGAGTGACGCGCGTTGCCCGGGGCCCGGGCCCGGGCCGTCACGCAGCGAGCGCGGCGCCGAGACGAGCGCCCGCGGATTCGAGGGTGGGCAACACGCCGCGCGACCCGGCGCATTGGTTTGCCTACGGGGCACGGCTGTCGGGCAGCGTGGCAGGGTCGACATGAGCCCCATCCCGATTGAGCCCGGATGACCTGAGCCCCGGCCAGAGCCCCGTTTGAGCCCGACTTGAGCCCCGACTCGAGCCCCGACTGAGCCCCGATGGCCAGAGCCCCGACCTGAGCCCGGTTCGAGCCCCGACCTGAGCCCCGTTTGAGCCCCGCTTGAGCCCCACGCCAAAAAACTTCCATTTTTGAACTTTTTTAGTGAAGATATTGCAACTTTTTGGCGCGGGGCTCAAATGGGGCTCAAACGGGGCTCAGGTCGGGGCTCAAAACGGGCTCAGGTCGGGGCTCTGGCCATCGGGGCTCAGTCGGGGCTCAAGTCGGGGCTCGAGTCGGGCTCGGCCGGGGCTCTGCCGGGGCTCAGGTCATCGGGGCTCAATCGGGACGGGGCTCATGTCGACCCTGCCGGCAGCGTGGGGCGAGTGCACTGTGAAACCAAGAGTGGAGAACTCCGCACTGCATGGTGCGGATTACTTCTCCACACTTGGACGTGTGAAGTTTGCTGTCTCCACACTTCAAGTGTGGAGTAGCTCACAGAGCCGCTATGTCTCTTGGCAAGGTGCAAACGTGGAGAACTCCGCACTTGAAGTGAGGAGACTGCGCATACCCTGCGCTTCCACGTGTGCGGACACTGCAAATTCCACACACCTCCGCATTCCCGGTGTGGAATTCTCCTACACTCGTTTTCACAGTGCTCTGCCCCTCCGCGGCTCCGCCCCGAGGAGGGGCGTCGCGTCTAACGCACGTCCGGCCGACGGCCAGCGCACGTCCGCACGCATGCCGGGGCCAGGCCGGGGCCAGGCTGCAGCTCTCGTGGGGGCACTGGAAGGACTGGAGGGCTCACACAAGTGCCAACCCCACGCCTTTGCCACGCCTGCGTGTGTGTGTGTCTTTCTGTGTGTGTGTCTGTCTGTCTGTCTGTGTGTCTGTGTGTGCGTGCGTCTCTCTCTCTCTCTGTCTCTCTCTCTGTTTCTCTCTCACTCTCTCTCTCACTCTCTTTCTCTCTCTCTCTCTCTCTCTCTCTCTCTCTCTCTCTCTCTCTCTCTCTCTCTCTCTCTCTCTCTCTCTCTGTGTGTGTGTGTGTGTGTGTTCGCGGACGTGCGAGTGTGGCCTGCGAGCGGGCTGCGGCTGCTGCGTCAGGACCGGCCCGCTCGAGTGTGTATGCAGTGCGCCTCCCCTCCGATTCCCCCTCGGCCCTCGGCCCGCCCCTCTGTCCCCGGGCAAACCCTTGACGGCGAATATTTCTGCAGAAAAGGAACGCGAAACACGAATTCCGGATGGGAATGCCGGTGCCAACAAACACAATTGACTCTCAGGGGAAGTCGGGCGGGGGTCAGTGCCCCGCCACTCCGCCGCCGCCGGGCAGCGCTGTGCGGCGCAGGGGGGCTGGCTTCGAACGGTGCCTCGCCGCTCTGTCTCTCTCGCACTCACACGGGACGCCCCGCCCGTGCGCGTGAGTGCGAGAGAGACGGAGCCACTTGTTTCGGGATCAGCCAATCGTGATCGAGTTTCGCGTGTACTCCCCCGCCGTGCCGTCCAACTGGGTAGTGTTTGCCAGCGGACTGATTCCGAGAGTCGTTTTCCGTCGCTCTGTTTCTCTCACACCCGTGGTGGCGTCCGGTACAGGTGCGAGCGAGACGGAGCGACGGAAACTACTCTCGGAATCAGTCTGCTGAGCGACGCGAGCTGCGCTAATCGATGGGCACACAGTGTGTCCGCGCGGACACCACTCACGTTGCAAGCTGGTCGGCCAAGCCCCACTCCACCGTCCTCGACTCGAACCAATCGCGTGATGGCACCCACGGATTTGCCTTTGAGGCGAAGCATCACCTCTTGGTGGTCGTTACCATCATGCGAATGGCACGACGAGGCACATTGGACGGCTCCCACGGATTGCTTTTCAAACAAAGGACGAATTCGGACGAATGACATTTTCATCAGCTGGAAATACTAATGGCGAAATTCATCACAAAGTCTTGATATTTTGATCGCATGCTAATCTTCTACACACGTTGACAGCAATCTTCACTACAGGTTTGATGAAAATTGCGGAAAGAATAACTACCTTGAAACTGTCACCAAGTGGCTACCCAAATTTTGGCAGTGGCCCCGCACTACACGTGCTATGGCAGCCATCGCAGGCAGCGCGGCGCCGCCACCTTTAGCCTGCGTTAGCCTTCGCGATGGCCCACCCATAACCCCGACGGCGCTGCCCCGCAGACTGATTCCGAGAGGCGTTGTCGTCGCTCCGTCTCTCTCGCACTCGTGCGCGACGCCCCGGGAGTGCGAGAGAGACAGAGCGACGAAAACGACTCTCGGAAACAGTGTGCTGCCCCGCTCTACGGCGGCACTAGGCGGCGCCTTGCTCGAGCTTTGCTCTGCCTCCCCGCGGAATGAAGTACCGATAAAACAGAGAGGGCGCCACGCCCTGCCACGCCGCGCCCCGCCACGCCCTAACGCGCAGCGCCACGCCCCGCCACGCCACGCCACGCTCCGCCACACCACTCCACGCCGCGCCCCGCCACGCCCTAACGCGCGCGCCACGCCCGCACGCACGCCACGCTCCGCCACACCACTCCACGCCGCGCCCCGCCACGCCCTAACGCGCAGCGCCACGCCCGCCACGCCACGCCACGCCACGCTCCGCCACACCACTCCACGCCGCGCCCCGCCACGCCCTAACGCGCAGCGCCACGCCCGCCACGCCACGCCACGCTCCGCCACACCACTCCACGCCGCGCCCCGCCACGCCCTAACGCGCAGCGCCACGCCCCCGCCACGCCACGCTCCGCCACACCACTCCACGCCACGCCGCGCCACGCCACTCCCCGCCATGCACATGACCCTCCTCAGGTGGGACGTTTTTACGGCGGCGTGCGCGCGGAAGAGCCCCAACTAGATCTACTGGGGCTGCGGCGCGCGGCCGTGTGCCGATTGCTCGCGAGCGATTCCGAGAGGGCACGCTCTGTCTCTCTCGCACTCACGGCGCTCCCCGTCGGAGTGCGAGGGAGACCGCGCGACGACACAGCGACACTTCGGAATCATCGGTCCACTGGGGAACGGGGCGGCGTGCGCGGTGTGGCGCTTTGGCGGTGCGAGGGGCGGCGATGCAGTGTGGTTAGGGGCGGCGGACGCACTCAGGGTGGGGCGGAGCGGGGCGGGGCGCGGCGGGGCGGGGCGGGGTGAGGCGGGGCGGGTGGTCTGCACGGCGGCGGCACCTCTCACGGCGGTTAGCTGGCCCTGGAGGCTGAGGCTGGACCCCGGGACGGTCCGATCAGAGACGGCGGGTCACCGCGAGGCGGGGCGGGGCGTGGCGGGGCGTGGCGGGGCGGGGCGGTGTGGGGCGTGGCGATGGCGGGGAGCGGCCGCATGTTTTATGCAAGGGCCCCAAGGGCCCTCCACAGTATGCACCCTCGAGGTGGGCCGGGGTGGGCCGGTGCGGGACGCGAGGACTGCCCCCGAGTGGCGCCGTGTCGCCGCCGAACCCCACGACGGCCACCCCCACGACGGCCGCCACTGCGACAACCTCCCCGCAGGCAGACTGATTCCGAGAGTCGTTTCCGCCGCTCTGTCTCTCTCGCACTCACGGGGCGTCCCGAGTCGGTGGGAGAGAGACAGAGCGACGGGAACGACTCTCGGAATCGGTCTGCGGCCGACCACTCAATCATTCATACCCCCAAGTGCTACTCCCTGCTCGTCGCTACCCCCATTGCTCAGTGTCAAATTGCTGCCCCCTTCCTCTTCCGCCACCCGCCTTCAGATCTGGAGTGAGATATCTCCAGCCGCGCGCTGTCCGGCGTGGCGCCACGTCACCGCCGAGTCCAGCAGACTGCCTCCGAGAGTCGTTTTCGCCGCTCTGCACTGTGCGAAAAAACCACAGTGAATCCCGTTAATTTTTGTGCCGGAATTTACTGTAGTTCAGAACACAGGATATACTGTGCCTGGCTACAGTATTTACCGTACCTTGTACAGGATATTCCGTACTCCACTCCTGTGGTACAGTAAATCCCGTACAAAGTACAGTGGATCCTGTAAAAAAGGTACAGTAAATCCTGTACTCTGAACTACAGTCACAGCTGTACCAAACAGTACAGGATTTACTGTGATTTTTTCGCACAGTGTGTCTCTCTCGCACTCGTGGGGCGTCCCGCATAGTTGCGAGAGAGACGGAGCGACGAAAACGACCCTCGGAACCAGTCTGCAAGGGAGGGCGATGGCCGCGAGCCGTTTCGCGGCACTTTCATCCACTTTGAAAGTCTAATTAATTAGATTATTTTGCTTTTTCTTTGGCGGCCCATCTGATTGAAATGGGACGCCGCGGTTTCGGCCAACTTTGCGATTTCTCGGTTCGGCTGCGACGACGGGGAAGGGGAAGGGGGAGGGGTGCACCTTTTGATGCCGTTCGTCGTCGTCCACGGTGGTTTGAAGTGGCGGGGCGGGGCGGGGTGTCCCCAAGGCCCTCTCGTTCCGCAGCTGTAATGACCATATTACTGCGTCCATGACACACATTTATTTGATGAAAAGACAACTTTCTGCGCATTAAAACTTGTCCGGCTCTCAGAAGACGGATCCCCCGTCTTCGCCGCGCCGCGATGGAACGTGGAACAGGAAAAAGCGGCCGGCTTTGGCGCGCGGCGTCCGTGCCAGCCGCAGACTAAGTGTCGTTTTCGTCGCTCTGTCTCTCTCGCACCTACAGAGGACGCTGCATGAGTGCGAGAGAGACAGAGCGACGAGGACTTCTCGTAAAGAGTCTACAGCTCAGTTTGCCAAGTGATTCCGCGGACGACAGTTTTGTCGCTCTGTCCCTCTCGCACCTCCGACGCCCTGGGGGCACGCGCCGTGTGTGCGTCAGAGACGACAGAGCGACAAAACGTCTCTTCGCGTAAACAGCATCCCGGTGGGGCGGGCAAGCAGATAGCGCTGTTGAGCCGCCAGCAGGGCGGGCGTCTGGAACGTGGCGACTTTGTTTACCCAGCGGGTACTACACCCGCATGCCGCGCCGTGGGGTCAGCGGCCAGCCGACTGTCATCAGCGGGCCGCCTTCGTCGCTCTGTCTCTCTCGCACCTATATGGGACGCCCCACGAGTGCGAGAGAGACAGAGCGACGAAGGCGGCTCTCGGAAGCAGTTGACTGAGCCCGACATTCCGTCGCCATCTCTGTCGCACTCGCAGGGCGACCCGCAGGGAGTGAGAGAGACACATCGACGAGACGAACTCTCCAGAATCACTCGCTCGTAGACTGATGCGAAGGTCGTTTTCTTCGCTCTCTCTCTCTCTTACCTATACGGGACGTCCCATGAGTGCGAGAGAGACAGAGCGACGGAAAGGACTCTCGGAATCAGTCTCCTGGGTGGAGGCGTCGCTAGTTTGCCTGCGTGCTTCAACACGCTGTCTTCCTTCCCGCCGGCAGCAGATTTTAACTTTGTGCTCTCTCACCTTTGGCGCGCGATCCACCCTTTCTTTCTTTCTCTTTCTTTTCCTCTCCGGTCTCTCTGTGTGCTCACTCTAAATGTTGTACAGTGAAGATTCTCCATATTATGATGAAAATGTTCCATATTATGGTGGTGCAGCCGACTTCGTAACATACCATTGAGAATTCACTGTACCTCATACAGATTTTGATGAATTTCATTGGTATTATGGAGAAAATCTCCACCATATTATGTTGGTGCAGCCTTTCACCGTAAGACATTTACAGTGCTGTCGCCGCACGCTGGTGGCGGCGGCAGACTGCTTTGTGCTCGGTGTAACCTTCCTCGCCCTCTTCGTGTTGCAGGCCCCGAGGCTGCCCCCGAGCCCGTTCCGGACGCGGCGCCCGAGGCGTCCCCGGTGGGGCTGGGCTCCGCGCCGGGCTCCGGGCCCCACCCGGAGCTGGCGCCGCACGGCGAGATGCCGCTACCCGGCTCCGGCGGCTCCGTGTCCGGCTCCGTGTCCGGATCGCTGCGGGCGCCGCGCATCGTGGAGCACCCCGCCGACGTGGTGGTGCGCCGCAACGACCCGCTCACGCTCAACTGCAAGGCCGAGGGCCGGCCGGAGCCCGTCATCGAGTGGTGGAAGGACGGCGAGAGGTGAGTCCCTTCGGCCTGCACTGCAAGAAAAAGGGTTAATAGTACAACAAAAACTGTAGAATAGAAGTACAATATGGATTGTATAAAGTACAACGAGAATTGTACAAACCACAACGAGGCCTGGACTGCCCAGCACTCGCCATGCCGGTTCCATTGTACTTTGTACAACAATTGTTGTACTTTGAAAGTACAATAAATTCCTGATAACAAATTTGCCAGTAATTTGTGTACTTTTGCTGTGGTATTTTCTTGCAGTGTGGGCCTTCGGCAGGCCCCGTGTCGCAGCCAGCCAGAGACCGGCGCAGGTGCACTGCTAGAAAAAACCACAACAAAAGTACACAAATTTCTGGCAATTTTTTTTTATCAGGAATTTATTGTATTTTCAAGGTACAACAGTTGTTGTACAAAGTACAATGGAACTGGCATGACGAGTGCTCTGCAGCCCAGGCCTCGTTGTGGTTTGTACACGGTGAAAACGGAACCTGGTTTTCCCAGGAAGCCTATGGTAGAGACATAGGCGATTTCCAGGGAGTTCCTGGGAAAACCAGGTCCCGTTTTTACCGTGTACATTTCTTCTTGTACTTTATACAATCCCTGTTGTACTTTTTTTTGTACAGTTTTTGTTGTACTTTTGTTGTACTATTCACTTTTTCTTGCAGTGCAGAGACCGGCGCAGGCGGCAAAAACTCTAGATGTGCTGTCTTTAGTAGGAAGAGTGTGTTTTAGTTTTTCTAGTGTGACAAAGGTAGAGCTCTGAACGCGCTCGGCAGACTGATTCCGAGAGTCGTTTCCGTCGCTCTGCCTCTCTCGCACTCACGGGTGCCCCGTTTTGGTGCGAGAGAGACAGAGCGACGGTAATGACTCTCGGAATCAGTCTGCAGCGTGAGTCCACGGGTGCTGCAGACTGATTCCGCACAGTGCGGAGGGGCCCACCCGCATCACTCTGTCTCTCTCCCACACTGTGCGAAAAAAACACAGTGAATCCCGTTAATTTTTTTGCCGGGATTTACTGTAGTTCAGAACACAGGATTTACTGTGCCTGGCTACAGTATTTACTGTACCTGGTACCGGATATTCCGCACCGCACCCCACTCCTGAGGTACAGTAGATCCCGTACAAAGTACAGTAGATCCTGTAAAACAGGACAGTAAATCCTGTATACTCTGAACTACAGTGACAGCCGTACTAATCACTACAGGATTTACTGTGATTTTTTCCCACAGTGCACTCGTGGGGGTACTCTCGGTCTGTCTCTCTCGCAGCGGCCCCCCCGCACTGTGCGGAATCAGTCTGCTGTGCTGCTGCGCGGCTCGCTGCGCTGCGCGCCTGCGATTGGCGGCATGCCAGCCCGCCGCGCCGCCGCGTTGCCTACCGCGCGGGCTGACAGCGCCGCCAGCGCCAGCAGCCGCCGACACACCGGCAAACCAAGTGTGGTGAACTCCACACTTCCTGGTGCGGAGCGATTCTCCACACTTGGACGTGTGGAGTTTTCAGTCTCCACTCTTCAAGTGTGGAGTGGCTCACGAAGCCCCTATCTCTTGGCATGGTGCAAATTCGCATTTGTTAACGTGGAGAACTCCACACTCGAAATGCGGAAGTGTGGAATTTCCAGTCCCCACAGAGCTTGCTATCTCCTCGCTTCAAGTGTGGAGTTGTTTGGTTTCACAGTGTGTCGCCCTCCCCTTGTCCGCAGGGTGTCCGCCGCGCCGCACCGCGTGCTGCTGCCGGCGGGGTCGCTGTTCTTCCTGCGCGTGGCGAGCGGCAAGAAGGAGCCCGACTCGGGCGTGTACTGGTGCGTGGCCAAGAACGCCGCGGGGCAGACCAGCAGTCGCAACGCGTCGCTCCTCGTCGCAGGTAAGCAAGCACGGCCTGACGACGTCCTCCACCATCCCTTCTTGCAGTGCACAGTGGGCCAGAAGACCTGTAAAGGCGGCCCGAATCCCGAGCGCGTTTCGAGCTCCAGGGTCGCTGAATGGTACTCAAATCGAACGTGTGACCCCACCAATGTATTTCTCGTTTGGAGGGCAATCCATCGGCGGGGTCACACGTTCGGTTCGAGTACCATTTAGCGACTCTGGAGCTCGAAACGCGTCTACAATTTTGGCCGTTTCCACGGGTCTTCTGGCCCACTGCATAGTGGCGTGGCCTGTACCTTCGGTGACAGGGGTGGATCTAGATTTGTTTTCGGGGGGGGGGGGGGGGGAGAGCTCTTGCCTACCTCCAGATGGAGTGTAGCGCTTCTTGCCTGCCTTCAGGGCGGTGCTAGACCTGACGGGGAAAAGGAGGGGGGGGGGAGTCCAGTGTCCCCGCTGAGCACCCCCTCCCCCTTTCCCCTCTGCAGCCGCCACTGCCCGGCGACTTGGTAAAATTATGCCGCCCCTTGGAGTTTCGCCGGCCGGCTTGTGCCGCCGGGGCGCCGCCGCTGGCGCTGCACAGCTCGAACTGATTCCGAGAGTCGTTTCCGTCGCTCTGTCTCTCTCGCACTCGTGGGGCGTCCCGTCTAGGTGCGAGAGAGACGGAGCGAGCGACTCCCGGAAGGAGCGTGCCGCACGTGACGACCGCGTGCGGCCGCGCGACCACCCCCTGGGCGTCACTCGCAGACAACGCGCTGCCGTAAATAAACAAGTTTGGCGCGCTTTTTGGCGGCGGGGGCCCTGGCCGCCTCGCCCGCCTCGCTGCAGTGCGAGTCCCACCGCGCCCCGGGTCGTCGAGGTGCGCAAATTACCGCCTTATACCGCCCCGGCAGACTGATGCCGAGAGTCGTTACCGTCGCGCTGCCTCTCTCGCGCCCATGGGGTGACCCCCTAGGTGTGAGAGAGACGGAGCGACGACAGTGACTCTCGGAATCAGTCTGCTATGCAGCGCGAGTAGGCAGTTAAACCTGTTGTGTTGGGCGCCCCTTCCCTAGTGGCGGATCCAGAGAGAACCTACACACTAAATTCTTATGGACTTTTTAAATGCATAATGACGCATTATTTATGCATAGTTATGCATGCGCAGAAACGTCCACACAGTAAATGTCTTACGGTGAAAGGCTGCACCAACATAATATGGTGGAGATTTTCTCCATAATACCAATGAAATTCGTGAAAATCTCCATAAGGTACAGTGAATTCTCAATGGTATGTTACGAAGTCAGCTGCACCACCATAATATGGAACATTTTCACCATAATATGGAGAATCTTAACTGTAGAACATTTAGAGTGCATAAGGTATGAATAAAATTATGCATCACTGTGTACATTTTATTCATCTTCCTGCATAAAATGTACACAGTGATGCATAATTTTATACACAACATATGGACGTATCTGTGCATGCATAACTATGCATAAAAATATCCATAAGAATTTAGTGTGTAAGGGAGGGGGCCGGGCCAAGTTTCACTTTTTGCCTACACTCTAAATGTTGTGCAGTGAAGATTCTCCATATTATGGTGAAAATGTTCCATATTATGGTGGTGCAGCTGACTCCGTAACATACCATTCAGAATTCATTGTACCATATAGATATTCTGACGAATTTCGTTGGTATTATGGAGAAAATCTCTACCATAATACAGGGTGAGTTTTCTCAATGTGTCAATAATTTGTAGGTAGTTTGGGCACCCCAAGGGGATCATTTTCTACCAATGAACTAGTGGGCGCAAACGTATAGGTACGGAGATAATTGGTGTTTTGTAATTAGCCTTCGCGCCTGCGAGGTAGGCACCCGCTGCCACTGATGGGCGCAGGACCTCACGTGGGGGTGTCGCGGGTCTAGGAGGGGTGCTTCGAGTCTCGTAGGGGTGCGGCGGACCTTGCAAATGTCTTTTGGGAGGGGTTGCCGCGGGTCTCAAGGGGCTGTCATGGTGGCCCCCGTTACAGTGGATCTCACGGCTGTCTTTGCGAGGGTGGCGGGATTCCACGGATACTTCCGCGAGGTAAGTGGCACTCCCGCGAGTACTGCTAGTCCCGCGAAACCCCCTCGACAGGTCCTGCCACCCTCAGTGGCACCGGGTGCCTACCTTGTAGGCGCAAAATCCAAATTCAAAACACCAATTATCTCCGTATCTAGACGTTTGCGCCCACTAGTTCATTGGTGAAAAATGGTCCCCTAGGGATGCCCAAACTGCCTGCAAATTATTGACATATTGAGAAAACTCACCCTGTATGTTGGTGCGGTCTTTCACCGTAAGACATTTACTGTGTACCAACGAAATTCATCAAAATATCTATATGGTACAGTGAATTCTGAATGGTATGTTACGAAGTCAGCTGCTCCAGCATAATATGGAACATTTTCACCATAATATGGAGAATCTTCACTGGAGAACATTTAGAGTGAGTGTACCAGGTCAAAGAGTTTCTTTTTGTCCACCTTTCAGGAGGCTATCTAGGGAGGGGGGAGGGGGGAAATCGCCCCTCCTCGCTTGCGTCCCTCCCATGCCCCCGCCATGTGCACCGTCATCGTCATCTGGTTCGACAGCATGTCCGGACGGCGGGGCTGGCTAACGGGTCGTCACTGTCACCCTGCCGCTCTAGCCGCGAGTTAGCTAGTGTAGTGTATTCCGGCCTCGCGCGGCGAGGTGCTTTGCTCCTGCTGCTGCACCAAGAAAAATTGCATGACGTGGGAGGAGGGAGAGGCGAAAGGGGGACGGGGGCGTCCTCGCGCAGCGCGCCGAGCACCGGTAGTTGTGAGGCGGCAGCGTGCGCCTTGCTGCCGAGCTGCCTGCCCGCCCGCCGGCTGCATTTCGAGTGGGGGTTCTCTCCAGTGTGGGTCTCTCTCTCGCTCTCGTGGGGCGTTCCGCATGGGTGTGACGGAGACAGGCGGCCTGACGCTCCTGTTCAGCGTGGCTGGCTGCCTGCTTGCCTGGCTGCCTCACTGCACGGTGGGCCGGAAGACCGGTGGAGGCGGCCAAAACTCTGGACGCGTTTGGAGCTCCAGAGTCGCTAAATGGGACTTGACCCGAGCGTGTGACCCCACCTGTGGATTGCTCTTCGAACGAGGAACCTATCGGTGGTCACACGGTCGGTTCGAGTCCTGCTCAGCGACACTGGCGCTCAAGACGCGTGTAGAATTTTGGCCGCAACCACTGGTCTTCTGGCCCACTGTGGGCTGGCTGCCTGCCTGCCGAGGGCGGGCGACCCGGTTGAATGCTTCGCAAGGGCGCGTGTATGCGAGAGTCCCTGCGAGAGTCCCTGCGAGAGGCTGGCGGGCCGAGGCGAGGCTGCCGAGGCGCGGGACGCGCGGTGGATGGAGTTGTCGCGCGCACGCATTCGGGGAATCCTTTCGAGTCGCGGCCTCGCGGCCCCACACTGCGAGAGTGAGTAATGGTGGCCCGCCGTGTCGCCGTCCTCGGCGCACGCTGCCAGCGCTCTGTCTCTCTCGCACTCACGCGGTGTCGCGCAGCGGTGCGAGAGAGACAGAGCCTGCTGCAGCGCGGCCGGTGGCAGTGGCGAGGCGGAAAGCGGCAAGCCCTTGTCGATTGTCGAACCCCTGCAGACTGATTCCGAGAGTCCGTCTTCGTCGCTCCGTCTCTCTCGCGCCTCTGCGAGACGCCCCATGAGTGCGAGAGAGACGGAGCGACGAAAACGACTCTCGGAATGAGTGACGACGGCGCGGCCGGACTGCGTGCGCCGCCCGGAACGCCCGCACCAGAAGGGCGCTTATTTCCTGCCCGGAAGTCGAGTCCCTTTGACGGTCGGCGATTTCTGCCTCCACGCTATTTATTCAGAGGGAACCGGCCGCGGTTTGAAGAGGTGTGTGTGTGTGAGTGTGAGTGTGTGTGTGTGCGTGTGTGTAGGTTTGTGTGTAGGTGTGTGTGAGAGAGAGAGAGAGAGAGAGAGAGAGAGAGAGAGAGAGAGAGAGAGAGGCGGAGGGGGTTGAAAAGCTCGCGCGCGTGTGTGTGTGTGTGTGCGTGCGTGCGTGTGCCGGTTCTCATACTCACGCGTGTGCACCCCAACTTGTGTTTTATTTGAGAGCGTGAGCGGATACCATTCACAAGAGCTTTCCCCATGTAAATGACCGCCTTAAATATGTGCATTTCCCCTCCTTGTCGTCGACGCGCGATGCCGAGAGGAGGTGGACAGAGGAGGGGGGGGGGGGGGGGGGCAACCTGGGGAAAGGGCGGGGGGCGCGCGACCGCCATTCCAAATCCATTGCCGGTACTTACACGTGTTGTTGCAAAGACGGTGAAACCTATACCGCCTTTCTATTGGCGCTGAAACCTATCGGTGCCTCTCCCATAGTCGAGACGGCGTATGAAGGGATGCCTCGCGGATGCCCGGCGGCGTGACGCGGGTAAAACGCGACGGCGTAACGAGACAGTCCGTCACGAGGCAGAGGCCGCCCACCTGTCTCGTCTTTCCCCCTCCCCCTCCCCTTCCCCGCCGTCTGTTTACCGAGGATGCAGGCACCCGCGCGGGACGTGGCAAGGATGGCGAGGGCCGCGGGCTCGTCTCGGCGGCGGGGCCCAGCGAGGCCCCAGGCGGCCCCCCCAGGCCCCAGGCCGGAGCGAGCGAGCGAGACAAATCGCGTGGAAGGGCTGGAAGGGCAGGAGGAAGGGCTGCGACACTGAAAAAAGAAAGCCCACGAAGAAAACGGGAGGCTTTGTAAAATCCACGAACAAATGCATCCTATTATGAAGCGAAATCCTTCGTCGTGACGAGGCGTTTCTTCAATGCCTTCATTTACTCGGTAGTCACAAAGCAGATTCTTCGCGACATGCTTCGCGGACTTCTTCGAGTGAAGTGCCGAGAGGCCCCTTGCCAGGCTTGCCTCGTGGCGATGTCACCGGCGTCTGGGCGACGGCGTCGACCGGAGGGCAGAGCTCTCAAAATCGCTGTTGTAGACCGACCGACGAGGCCGAGA